TTTATTGAATTCTATATTATGTGTTTTATTTTTTATTATTCATTATTTACTATATTAATATTAATTTATTTTATTATTTATTAATTAAATACTGAATAGATTAAATATAAAAAATTAATAAAGTAGAATAAAATAAAATATATAAATTAAAAATTAAATAAAATTAAATATTTTTTATTTATTTTTTGTTTGTAATCACTATATATTTTAATTGTAAACATAATTTGGATAATAAAAGTAGAATTAAAATAAATAAAAAGAATATAAGTAAATTTAATGAATTTAAATAAAAATTAAAATAAAATGATGATGTGGCAGTTTTTTGGCAAAAAAGAGTAAGTTCGTGTATCGGGTTGTCAAAAAATAAAAGGTGGTGTATTAAACTGCCAAGGTTTAACTGATGATTTGGCTTCTGTTTGTTGAGTCAGACCCACGTCAACTTTTCGTTGACGGACGTTAAATCCGTGTATCAAGTTGCCAAGAATGTAAAGGTCATGTATTTATTTGCCAAGGTTTGAAAGTCGTGATTAAATGGCCAATCAAGTAAAGGTCGTGTATTTTTCCGCCATTATGCCATTCAATAATCCCTTGTATTTTGGAAACCTTGACAGCAATTGAAAAATAAAGAAAAAGAAAAGTAAAGGGAAAAGAAGGAAATATAGCACAAAAAAAAGAGGAAAAACGAACTACTCCCCAAGTAATGTTGTTTTTTCGTTTTATACAAATTTCACTTTCCATTAGGAGAAAATTTAAAATTTACTTTAAAGAGAAATTAGATAAATAGCTAGAGACATTAGTCTACTTGTGGTATATTACATATACAAATAGAGAGAGAAACGAATAGAAGACCATCGGCAATACTCTTAACCAGATCTGCAAAAATCCCTCACCTGAAATTGTTATGAAGATGGTGTTTTATATGTGCTGTTGATTTGAATCGGAATGTACACATTCCGATAATTTTGTTTTTTTTTCTTCTTCTTCTTCTTCTTAATTTCTCTTCGATGGAGAGAGAAAGGTTATTGCGAATGAATGATGATGGAGGATGCGAATATCTGCGGACGGGAATGGTTGGATCATCTTCACCGTCGAGATCGCCGTCGATGTCGTCTCCCCCTTCCGCGACCGTGGGAGTCACCGTTGACGGTGGTGTAAACTACATACTACACACCGTGACGAAATTCGATACTCTTGCGGGCGTGGCAATCAAATACGGAGTCGAAGTATGGAATCAACCTATTTTAAGATATTTATGTGTTTGATTAATTTTATTGTTAAATTTGGAGACCATTATTATGGATTATGTCTTCTCCTGTTTTGTTGGAATCACGTAGCTCCTTTTGGGATGATTGTTCGTAGCTAAATTAAAGAACTGCTAAATTCAGTTGCTTTATTTATCCTGTGTGTAATCCACATTGATTTCTAGTAGCTTTATTTGCACGCCTCTTTGGTGTTTGTTGTGCTACCATCATAGAATAAGCGGGGTAGTGTTTTGGTGTGCCCTTAACACTATGGTTATGCATATCCAATATTTGTGCTGTTGATTCTATATTGAATGCATTGTTTGAGCTAAGAAATAGCTTTTATCTTGTTATTATTACTGTATGTAATTTTTTGTTTGGGTTGTTAGGTAGCGGACATAAAGAAGCAAAACGGGTTGGTGACAGATCTCCAAATGTTTGCTCTTAAGACCCTCCAAATACCATGTCCTGGAAGACATCCTCCTTCCCCAAGCTTGTCCAATGGACACGGAACTCCTCCACGGTATTTCTACCTCATATGGTTCTGTGTGTTCGTATTTTATTTTAGGGAAAAAACTAATACCAACCTGAACTTCACTCATATTATGAGTTTGCAACCTAAACTTTATATTTTGATAAATTCCAACATAAACTACAGGGCATTGATAAAACAACCTCGGCCACCGGAAAGGTAGAAACGAGCTGGAAAACCCTTCAAAATTGCAGCAGGCAATATTTTAAATGAAAAGTGGGGAGATAAACTGAATTTTTGGGTCAGTGAGTACACAGGCGCATATACACACACACAAGATATTAAACAAAAGAAAGTATGAAAGAAAATCAAGGTGTGGAAAAAGGACATTGGTAGAAGTACCATGAAATTCTTACTGTATGTTTGGGAGCATTTTAGAATAGTTATTATTCATACAGGAGTTCCAGTGACTGTATTGCAAAATTTTCAGCATCTTCAAGTAGTTCTTCCATCAACTTTCTCCTCAGGTATATTGAACCAGTGATGTGCACTTCAATGGCTGCATAATCAAGAAGTTTAACTGAGGACCCTGATCAATCTTCTTGCGTGATTTAGGTTTCCTATATTTACTGCCCTTGGCCTTAGGGTCACCATTTCTATTCATCCAACTGGTTATTCTTGGTGTCGAAAACACTCCCTCGAAAATCATCATTCTGCTCATCTCTTACAAGAAACTTAGACTAAAGAAGTTTTAACATCTCACAATGTGTGGAACTCTATGTTTCTCAAATAAATTCTCAAGCCTTGCGTTACAAATGATTTTACTTTTCCGACGATGATCATGAAGCTTGTTTCTCTTGATATACTTAGCAAAAGAGCTGCAAATCAAACTATAGAAAGTAAAGATGTCCACCAGCTTTCATATGTGAAACAACTTCGAGTAGCTCTTGCCCATTCAGAGTTGACAATACCAGTTTGAGCTAATTCGATCTTCTTCTCTGGAAAAAGGGACTTTAGTTTTTCAGTGTCTTTCTTCTGTTAGGCCTAGTGGTTTCTAATTTTTCAATAGAATCATCTGAACCAGATCAGAGATCCTCCATCATTAGCATCAATTCTTCAGAGAATTCTTATTTGCTGGGACCGGACAACACGCCGGCTCCCTTCAATGGATATTTAGCATAAGCAATTTCATTTGATGAATGTGGCAGCTTCTCTAGTAATTCTATGTAATAATCCTTGAAAGAGATACTCCAAGCTGTTTCTGTGAAGACTAAAGAGAAAAGGAAGGGGCTTGAGTAAAGAATGAACTCACTGACCTTAAATTACGAAAAGACCCTTGAGATCCTGCTTGCAAGATGGCTTTTCCAGCTTGTTTCTACTTCTCCGGTGGCCGAGGTTGTTAATTATCAATTTCATGTAGTTAAGTTTGGAATGAATCAAAGTTTAAGTTTAGGTTGCAAACCCGAAATACATGCAAAGTTCAGGTTGGTTGAAATTTTTTCCCCTTTTATTTTCATATTTGAAGTTACCATTTCTATTTTGTTGTAGAGATAATCATCTGAAAAAGGTACATGTTCTGCTATAAATTTGATATTTCATCATACTTTCCTTGCCACTAAACAAGTTATGATACTCTGTAAACGAGCTATATCTTTTCGTTGTAAATATTGTACTTGGGGAAGGAAGAAACTGGTGGCAGATATCTTGTCACTTTTTGCACGTTTAATATGTTGTTTGTCTTAGATATTTGTGTTGTTGACTTCTCTCGCGGATGCACCTCTTCCCCTTATAAAAAATTCCATGTCCTCTACTGGAACTCGGCTTGTGAGATTTACGTTGCTTTCTGGTCTGTCTTTGTTCTTTTCGCTGTTTTTTGGTTCTCGAGGAAAATTGGACTTCGTCAAGCTTCAAATTTTCAAATGTTGCCAGTTAATTGGTGGAGCATAGTATCTGTATATCAATTATTATCTTGTACATTTTAGTTGAGCATAGTCTCAAGTCTTAACCTATTGAAATCCAACTGTTGTGGCAGAAACATAAAAACTTTGCATTGCCCTCCAATAAAACTGTAAAGATAATGAAGTGACATTTGATATCCACCACTCGCAGGCCAAGCAGCTCTCAGCAGTCCGCATCTAGCCGTAGATACTCCGATATATTCGATTCATTTCCATCACTAAAACTGAAAGCTTCGACGGACGAAAAAATCTCACCGGCCATCAACCTTTTACGAGGCTATTACGGTCTGAAATCAGGTGATGATCCAAAAGGAGCATCAGAAGGGTTCGAAATGTCTGTATACCGAAAAGGGGGTTCTCACTATCTAGAAGATGGGCCATTTTCGAAATCGTCCAACCCTCCACTGAGCCACCATAGAAAATCCAAGAGTGCTGTTAACTGTTTAGCTGCCGAAAACGGTGATAATCGGCTCATCATGTCTCAAGAACCCGAAAGTAACGACTCGATTGAGAAGCTGATCAGGCGGCGCCAAAAATCCGTTGCCGATTTCAGCAAATGCACTCCGGAAAAGCTTCTCAAGGAGGAAAACACAAGCGGCATTGCAATTTCGTCCATTACTGGCAAGGGCTTGGCCCTTAGGCCCAAGTCAGCGGGCCGGACTGCTGATGGTGAAACTGCTGGCCCGGGCCCGTTTCCGTTGAGTTTGGGGGATTCTGTATTAAACGACAGTGGCAGTGGAGTGCGAAAGTCGTCGAGCACGTCGAGTTTGCAGGATTCGGAAAATGGGGCATTGTCATCCATTTGGCCGACGTCTAAGTGGAGTCTGAAACCGGATTTTCAAGCTCTTTCTGCTGCAGCCATCACTAGGCCCATCTTTGATGGGCTGCCCAAGCCGTCTAATTGGAAAAACAAAGCAGCACTGGATTAGGTTGGTTGATTTGCATATTTATTGTTCCTTTTGGAGAAATAGCAATGAAGAATTTGTGGTAAAAAAAGTAATGAAACATTCACGGATAGTTTTTTCTTTTT